GATAAAGTCCTCGAATATGTCTCTGATCCCCGCCCCATCACCAATAAGATGTCCCCAAACCCGGCCCGAAAATTTCGATCAGTTTTCATCATCGGTTTCGGTTTTTTTGCTATCTTTATGTTCCAGTCTGCTCCATGTAAAAGTTCTGTCAAACATGGAATACAGATCTTTGTTCTATTCTGTCATGTCATGTTCAGTGTATCAAACGTACCATAATGGATTAAAATCACTAGTCCTAAAATCACATGTTTCATTATTGTCCCGCCAATTAAATCAAGTCATATCAAATTTTCATTTATCTTCAAATTATTTAATTTATATTTATTTTTTTCTCTATTTACGTATTTTTATATAATTGATAGATATGTATAAGATATGAAAATTGTGGACAATTATAACTTTAACTTTTTACTTCTAAAACACTTGTACAATGTAAAAATCAATAAATAAAATATTAAAATGACTAAAATGCCATCACATAAAACATTAAAGAAGCCGTTCATGGACCAAATTCTAAGTAAAAGAAAGATTTTATAATTTTTAAACTTATCCCAAAAATTGTAATTAACTCCGCCTTTTTTTATTTCATTTATCCATTAAAATTCAAGTCCTTAATGTTTTCAGATTTTAACATCCTAAATTTCAAAAACTTGAACTTTATTCCTTGTATTCCTTAATTTCTTAACAGTTTTGGTCCCTCTGAACTGCTGGTCGTTAACTTTTTGTTTAAGTTCAGTTACAAAAATTATTTTAATCATTTTTACTATTTCCTTTTATGTTAATATTAAAAAATATATTATATTTTTTATTTTAAATTGTAAACCGAAAAAGGAAAAGAAAAATTGTAACTACCCCATTACGGTTTTTTTTTCTTTGTTTTTCAATTTAAAATTTTAAAAAAAAAATATGTGTTTTTTAGTTTTAATATTATAAAAGTAGTAAAAATAACTAACATACCTCTTATTTGATTGGACTTAACATAAAAAATTCCAAAAAAACTCAACAAACTTTGTTATTTTGAATGATTTAGTTGTTAAACTATTTTTTAAATGAAAAAGACTATTAAACTTTCTTATTTTGAATGATTAATACCCTGAATTTTTTTAAAAAACAAAAAGATTATCGAACTTTTATTAGTTGGTTAATATATAACTTTTTTTGAGTTAAAATGATATTTATTTAAAAGTGCGATGAAGATGACTTATTTATCAAACAATATTCGAGAACTTAATCATCAAAATAAGAAAGTTTAATGGTTTTTTATTAAAAAGAAAAAAAATTAATTTTTTTTTATTTAAAAAGAGAAAATTTAATATTTTTTTCATTTCAAAAAATTAGTTCAAATATTTAATCATTCGAAATTTGATACTTCATTGATTTTTTAAAACTTTTTTTGGAAAAATTAACATCTTTTAAACAGAGGGACTAAAAGTCTAAAACTGTTAGGAACCGAACAAATTTAAATAACCAAATCCAAGTTTTTTGTAGTTGAAGGACGATATCTGTTAAATTTAAAAACATCAGGGACCAAAATTAAACCTACTTAAGGAAAAAAAAAAAAAAAAAACAATGTGTAGACATGCCTGATTGGATTGGACAACGCTCCACATTTCGCAATGAATTATTATCTCTTGGTTACCCTGCTACTCCTCATACCTTTATTCTTCTTCGCTGCCCAATTTCGCCGGAAAATCAAGAACCTTCCGCCGACGATCTTCCCAACCCTCCCCGTTATCGGCCACCTCCACCTGTTGAAGAGACCCATCTACAGAACCTTCGCCACAATCTCCGCCAAACACGGCCCAATCCTCCTCCTCCGTTTCGGATCCCGCCGTGTCCTCTTGCTCTCCTCCCCTTCTGCCGCCGAAGAATGTTTCACCAAGAACGACATCATCTTCGCCAATCGCCCTCGTTTACTCGCCGGCAAGATTCTTGGCTTCAACTACACCGGTATCGTTTGGGCACCATATGGTGACCACTGGCGCAACCTTCGTCGGATGGGCGCCATCGAGATCTTCTCCTCTCACCGGCTCAACGACTTCCATGACGTACGGGCCGATGAAGGAAGACTTTTGGTACATAAGCTGGTCTCAGAAGGTTGGTCGACGGTGAACTTGAAGTCGATATTCCATGAGTTGACGTTGAACATGATGATGAGGATGATCTCCGGGAAGAGATACTTCAAAGGCGGAACTGATGAGGAGGAAGGGAAACAGTTCGAGGAGATAGTGAAGGAGACGTTTCTGTTGGGCAGTGCTTTGAATTTGGTGGATCACTTGCCGATTTTGAGTTGGTTGGGAGTGAAAGGATTCGAAAAGAAGTTGATTTCGTTGCAGAAAAAGAGAAGTTCATTCATTCAAGATTTAATCGAGCAATTTAGAAACGCGAAACATGTCGAACCGGAACCGGAGAATAACAAGAATAAGAAGAAGACGATGATCGAAGCCTTTTTGCTGCTTCAAGAAACAGATCCCGATTACTACACAGATGAACTCATTAAAGCTTTTGTGCTGGTAAGATAACTATCTTTACACTCAACTCTCTTATTTTAGAATATTCTAAAAATTTATTAAAATGTTCAAGAATATCGTTTATAACACTTTCATAAAGTACTTAAAACATTTTTGGTGTGACAATTGATTACATATATCTTGTACGAGTTCCTTAATATCCATTGATTTTTGTTGATGATTAGAACCTACTAACTGCTGGTACGGACACTTCTACTGCAACTATGGAATGGGCTTTTGCCCTTTTGCTCAACCATCCACACGTTCTCAAGAAAGCACAAAACGAAATCAGTACTCACTTGAACCAGAAGCGTTTTGTTGATGAATCAGACATGGGCAGCCTCCCTTACCTCCAATGCATTCTAAACGAGACTTTGCGAATGTACCCTGCTGCCCCACTGCTCGTACCTCACGAGTCATCCGAAGATTGCATGGTGGGAGGCTATCACATCCCACGTGGCACCATGCTACTTGTCAATCAATGGGCCATCCATCATGATCCCGACTTGTGGAGTGAGCCTGAAAGGTTCAACCCAGAAAGGTTCCAAGGCACGAGAGATGGGTTTAAGTTTATGGCATTTGGGTCCGGAAGGAGGAGTTGTCCAGGGGAAGGGTTGGCTATGCGTATGGTTGGATTGACGTTGGGATTGTTGATTCAATGCTTTGATTGGGAAAGGGTTAGTGAAGAAATGGTTGATATGAGCGAAGGTCCTGGCCTCACCATGCCCAAGGCTCAACCTTGTGTAGCCAAGTGTAGACCACGTCCAATGACCCTGAGGTTAATATCTCAGGCAAACACGTGTCCATGAGGTTCACCCTAGTTCATTTTAGGATTCTAAATATATCCATGACTTCTTAACGTAATAATATCCATATAATGTCAATCGAGGTCTTCTAGTCTTCTTTGTTTTGTATATATTGCTTTGTTCTTTGTAAATCATATTTGGTGATAATATATAGAAATCATATAAGCCTTTGGCTCCATCCTACCTTTTGTTCTTTTTGCATTGGTCAACGAATCACGTATTTATTACATATGTTTTACGTTTAGGTAAGAATAAAGAAGAGGGGGTGTAGCTGATAATGGATCAACATAAGTCCGTTGTAACCTTCCTTTTATTAATTTATGTCGATGTACATTGATAGTAGAATCATGTTAAATTTTATTGTCTATATTTATATATGTCATCTCGTATTTTTACTTGTTAATAATAGATGACTGCATTTCTAACTCACTCTTGTTGATTTTTATACTTGGTTAGATCATTGTATGCATCATCTAAATCGTGTTTATCTCTATTTGTTGTTTGGGCCAATTTTTCACTTTATCATTTGTGACCATGGAAAATTGTTGTTGCACAATTTGATGAATCCCGACCCTAATATAGTATCGTTAAGGATTGTTTATAAACAAGATTGGAACAAGGGGTATATAGAATACCATCAACTCATGAAACCTGTCCAACCCAACCCACTAGCAATCTAATTAACCTAACCCGTCAAACCGTCAACCTACCTATTAAGAGGGTTGAAATTGGTTTATACCAGACTCAACCCGTCCAACCCCCACTAACATATAATTTTTATAAACTTATCTATATACACACATATATAATATGTTTACCTTGTTTATTATTTTTACAATCCAAAAAATATATATTATACAATTTAGAACATTATAGCCCAAAAAATATATGTAATTATTATGTAAAAGACTGTTTATCATAGGAAGCAAATCGGTATAAGTTCTTTGTAGAATCACTTAAATATTAATGTAAGAAAACTCGGATAGGGCGTGTGATAAAAACAAAAATTGCTTAGCTTTTCATACTAGCAATGATATTAAGGTATCATTTTATAAGGATAATTGTCAAAAAGTCGTTGCTAGGTCTATGGTGAAGGATGAACAATCATTTAGGGGTCATTTGGTTTAATGGAATGGTTTTGAAGGATCTGGATTTCGCGGAAAGATTTGGAATCGGAAGGATTTGAATTTGGAAGGATTTGGAATCTCTAGTGTGTTTAGCTTGATAGATTCATAATGGAATGGAACTCCATTTTATAAAAAGAAATTATAAATAATTATACAACTTAAGTACCTTTTTGAATTATTAGAAAATAAATGTTTTTAACATATTCACTACAAAATTGAGGACTATCAGCGACGTATAATCCGTTGCTGATAACTCGAGGAAAAAAAAGCTGGTGGATAATACTATCAGCGACAAATTAATAACGGTTGTTATCAGCGACATATTAGCGACATAAGTTGTCAGCGAGGGATTTAGCATAGAAATCTTCAACAACAGAGTAGCACGAGGGACCTTTAGTGACAAGATCTTTAGCAACGGATTAGCAAATTTAAGAGACGAATTTTTCGTCCCTGATTTAAAAAAAAAAATACAAATTTCATGTAATTTTTATACAAAACATGCCCACAAAAACATCAAACCAAAATTGTCTAACAAATTAAAAATAACTAATTCATACAATTTTAAATACCAAATTCATACAATCTAATGCTCAAAAATTAATTAAGTAACAATCTAACTAATGGGAGGGCCAGGAGGTGGGGGAGGGGGAAAACGTATCTTGACTGCCTCATAAACGCAACAAAATCCTACGATAAAGAGATCTGGTTTGCTAATTGGGTAGCACATTTAGCCTGTTGGGCCTCCAAATATGCCCTCCTCTTCCGTTCAGCCTCCATCTCGGTATCCCTTCTCTTCCGTTCGGCCTCCAACTTGGCCCGACGACGTTCCTCCATTTCAACCATCTTTGCTCTCAAATCCGCTACTAGTAGATATTAAATATTTGACAAAAATCAATAATTTGTTCGAAATGAAAACTAATGACAAAGTACATAATAATATAACCAACATATCTCTGAGGTATCATATGATCTCCTGCTGCAATTGCTACATCGATCGGTCATAACATAATAACTTTTTATTTTTCTTTTCGTTTAAATCAATATCAAACATTAACATCAAAATATTAAAAAACTAATTTTATTTACCTTCAATTTTATTTTATTTTAGTAACAATTAACAAAATTGAAACTTCTAAGTTTATTAATTTTGTTATATTATTTTCACATATATTTTTGTTTCATTTTTTTTATTTACACGATTCATAACTTAATTAGATAAACTAACAAGACTTACAAATTAAACCTTTTATTAGATAGGATACCAATACTTGTAAATCAAAACTTTTATTAATTCAATCTAGTTATATTTTATTTCATTTTTTGTATTTTCTTAATAACCTAACAATTAATCTTAATCTTAATATGTATTAAAAAGAAACCAAAGATGATGACATGTCAAAATGAGATTTGAGTAATCCTCAAATCTTGAAATGTGGTTGATTTTCATCACCTCACATTGGTGAGAATATGTAAATATGAAAGTAAGAATTAAGTATAAGAAAGAAGGGGTAGATGTATTTGTGTCGGTTCATGTGGTTGCCTCAACTTGGCTTACCCAATCTTTGCAAAAAAAATATTTTTTATAAGAAATCTTCTTTATATATAAAAGTAAGATCCACAAGAAATGATGTGATATCCTAAGAATTAAGTATTCTATATTTCTTGCATAGAGATTGAGTTTTGTGTATCACACATATATGGAGAGATAAAAGATTGACAATTGATAGTAGGTATATGAGATGAGGTTGATGTGTCTTTGTTTTAATTCATGGGGTTTGACTTTCTTGGCTAATCCTATAAACTCGTATAGTTAGCTCATGTTGGCTATCCCTCCAAACTCATGAGGTTGGTTCATTTCCAACCCTTTGTTTGCAAAAAAGTCATCTTTATAAAAAAAATCTTTATATATATAGGGCTCTCTCTCTATATATAAGTAAGATTCACAATAAATGATGTGCTACCTTAAGGATTGAATATTATATATTTCTTGCATTAAGGTTGAGTTTGTATATCCCACTTTGATGGAGAGATTAAAGATCGACAATTGATGGTAGGTATATAAGAGGAGGTTGATGTGTCTTTATTTTAACTCACAGGGTTGGTTCTTGGCTAATCCTATAAACTCATATCACTGGTTCATGTTAGCTAACCCTCTAAACTCATGGGGTTGTTCATTTTGACGAACACTCTATTTGCAAAAAAGTTGTCTATGTAAAAAAAAATCAATATATCAATACAAAAGAAAGCTACAAAATAATAATATTGGCATTATTAAAACCAAATATTTAAATTTCTTGCATGATGGTGGATTTTGGGTATCCACATTGATTAGAAATTGATACGTCAATTAGGAAAATGAGTATATAAGAGAAATATGAGTTCCATTTGAAAATTAAAAGGTTCATGTTGATCATCTCTCTCAGTGATTTGATGATAATCCCTTTTCACTTATACGAAGTATTTATGTTTCTGTCTTTTCAGTTCCAGCGATCTTCACTGAATCTGTTCAGTAATCGCTGAAGAACTTGTATTGTAATTCAATCAACGATAGCGATACTTCAAGAAGACAACACTCACACCACAGAACCTTCAGAAATGTCGAAGACTGAAACTGAAGATTAGAGACTGGCGAGTATGTGATCTGAAGTAGTACTCAGTGATTACAAACATGTCTACATATGTGTGAAGACTGCTCAAGCCTCAACGAATACTGAAGAGACCTTCAGGTTATTCCAGCATTCAGCGATCAAAGGAGCTTGTCAAGCACGATTGTTGTTGTCTTGTCCTTATACACGTAAAGGACAAACCCATACCCTTTCTAAATGTTAGTACGGTACGGAGTCGACTAGTTGACTCTATTACCCACCAACTTTAGGTAAGGATGTCTGCTCATGAATAGGTTTTTGTACTATTCACTGTAGCAAAGGACAAGCCTTCCCCTTAAGGATTGACACGCACTCTAACCCTACCATATTGCATTAAATGTGCATTTAATGCAATAGGTATAAATAGAAGTGTTTCCTCTCCATGCAAAGTGTGCGCACAACACACTCTCTTAACCAAATTCTTATTTTGAGCATTCTTGAGCTTAAGTAAAAGAACTTACTTTCTCCTACAACAAATCTTTCTTACTGCTTTCAAATGGCTTTGCAAAACACAAACACACACATTCAAGACAATGGCTCTCTTGCCAAACCTCCTCGGTTCGTCCGTGACAACTTTAGTCTATGGAAGAACCGGATGTCCCTCTTTCTTGAAGATGTGGATCCTGAAATTCTCCACTATATAGAAAATGGACCATATGTACCATTTGCTATTTCTCCGGCTGTTCCAGCAACAGCTACGACTGTTGCGATTCCTGAACAACATATTCCAAAGCTCTCTCATCAGTGGAGTGATGAAGACAAGAAGAAGATAGCTATAGACACTCACGCTAGGTCTATAATAGCTATGTCTCTTCCTGACGAGATTTATCACCCTGTGAAGAAGCTCAGGACTTCTAAATCCATGTGGGACACACTTTTTGTTCAATATGAAGGAACCACTCAGGTTCAAGAAACTAGAAAGATCAATTTAGTAAGGCAGTACGAAAGCTTTCTCTGTGGAAAGACTGAAACGTTGTCTGAAGTACATCAACGTTTTAATTGTCTTCTTATTGATCTAAGGGCTGTAAGCAGGGAATATTCCAATACTGAAATTTTAACTAAGTTTCTGGAATGTCTTCCTGAGTCTTGGGACACCTTTTCCATGTGTCTTAAGATGTCCAATGACATGTCCTCTCTTTCTCTATCTACTCTCTACATGATTCTGCTTAATCATGAGCAATCTCGTTAGCTGAAGAGGAATCTAATCAAAGATTCCAGAGAAATGAAAAGCTTTCCTTTAGCTTTGATCTCTGAAGCTTCTTTAGCTGAAACCCCTTCTACTTCTTTTACATCTTCTCTTCCTCCTGTTGTTATTACAGAGATAGACTCGTCTAACTCTGAG